AAAAAATTTTTTTTTTTGTCGTGTGAAATTTACTAATTATGAGTAACAGGAAAACTTTATTTAGTATATAGGATCCTTTTAAGGTCTACATATCCATCATACAGGGTTCACCTGACCTCGACCTTATTTCGTGTATGAAAGTCATTGGTCTCTGGTGAACAGTTGTCTCATTTGAAATCACACCAAATTTTCCATTTCTATATTCTAATATGTAGGTAGAGATGAACTATCGTTCATTGCAAAAGTACATATTTTGTTTACAAAACAAACTATGCAATGCATAAAAACAGATCAATATCTTTGTTTTATTAATAGTTTGATTCTTATTGTCACGAAATTAGCTCAGAGTTGTTAATATAAACTCGTGTCGTCATTAGATGAAAGATCAAAAGCTGTGAAATAAACAAAACCATCTTCTGTTACAGACAAAAAGTATGAATTTTGTCAGTCATGTTTGTATTCTATCCAAAATTGAACAAAACAAATTAAAATAGTAATAATAAAATTAAAAAAAACCATAAAGTTTAAGCAAAACAAAAAAAAGTAACTTCTAACTTATTTGTAGGATATAAAAAATACAGTGAACAAATATGTAGACTAAGATGTCATGATTAAAAATATCATTCCCATGAAAAAATTTATACATCATAAAAATACAATATAATATGGGAAATATCGAGGTGTTATATGCAAATGTTAAAAGCATGCTACAGTTTGTGAATCTTACAACAATGTTATTCACAAATCTGTTTCTTCAAAATATTGTGCAAATGTTACAGGTTATTGCAAAGAATGTATTAAAACGGTATGAACATATCTTTTTTTCGAAACCGTTCTCATAACACGACAAAACTATACATTTGAATGATGTTTTGATGTTTTGTTTTCCTAACAAATTTAGAAACATTTAAAAATAGCTTAGTATGATAGAGAACTGCTGCTTACAGGGAAGATTATGAATCAGGGGTTCCTATTGGTAAAATTGAAGTCATCATTTTATCATAAAACAAGAACAAATGTTCCAAGAAAATCGTTTCAAGTAATACACCATTATTGTATTTCCATGTTAAACAAATCTGTTTTATGAATAAAAGTTAAAGCTTTTGGAAAATGTAAAACATATGCTTAATTTTCTTCTTTTTAAATGAAAGACCTGATATTAATGAGATAGACTACGTGATTATAGGAGACGTGAGAAATATCTCGACCAGTCAAAGTTTCATGTCACAGAGTTGGTATTGCTTAATTTTGTTTTTTTGTTTTTTTGTTGATTATTAAATAAAGAAACCCTTTCAAATTGCGTTTGATTTTACACGAAAGAAATGTTTTATTCATAATGATTTTTTTGTAGTATAAATCCTATTTTTGTAACCCGCGAATACATTTATCATAAAAGTCTACTTGTGTTTGACTGTGCATCGGTTAGTCTGACAATGAATATTTTTCAGTCCATCAATCTTGACACATTTGGTTTTTGTTTACCTTAGAATATACTGGTACGTGAAGACTTGATGTTATTTTTCTGCCAAAGGATCTACCTTTACAAAAAGAACACTCGTAATCTCTTTAAAGGAAAAAAAGATATAATGTCTATATCATGGGCTAAACTATTGACTCCATATTCCTTCTTGAAGTGAAAGAATCCTTGTGTATTGCCTTTATTGTCCAGTCATAATCACTAACTTTTCCTACCCATGGGAAATTATGTTTGACGCTAACCTTGAAAGCACCTTCCGTTTTTGAATGGTCAGTCGTAATTCAAGATAGTTTAGGAAAATCTTTTACTGTTGTTTACTATCACCACTTGTTTTTAATATTCGCATGTTAGCAGGAGTATATACATACTAAAGACCTCGTTTTATGTAAGCTTGCTTAAACCATAGGTACAAATTTCTCAGAAAAAGTTGACTATGGACGAGATTGTCTATTTGATTAAGGACCTTTTGGTTTTTATTCTCATACGTTTTATATTTTATAGTTGTCTCAAACTTTTGGTCACAAGCAAACCTGATAAAGGTTTTTCTAGAAACAGGTGCTGTGAACACGGAAATCGTGTTATTTGTTTTCATGAGATATAATTTTGCTATTTTACTAAACCACATGGGTATTTTGACAATCAATGTCTCTTCGGTGATGCCTGAGGCCAAAATATTTGAAAATCCAAATTAAGTGAAGCCAAACACGGACAACTAGCAAAGTGAACACTTTGTTAGTTCTTTTCACAAACAGCTTATTTTTATGTTTTATAATTATAAAAAAAATGCTTAAAAAAACAGCTATATTTAACATTTAGCTATAATATTAACCTCCTGAATTTTGCTACACTGTCCCTCAGGAAAAATTATAAAAAATTCTAGAGATTATTTTATGATGTGTTTCCCTCAGTTTTGGTTTGTGACCCGGATTTGTTTCAGTTAAATCGATTTATGACTAATGAACAGCGGTATACTACTATTGCCTTTATTTATATTATTTGATTTTTTCAACTATCTAGACTCTATACTCTCACCTTAATTAGTTTTAAATAATGATTTAAATTTTTTAAACGTCATTGAATTTTTTAAAATTTTACAGATAATTGTAAATCTTCATAAAAAATATATATACAAATGTTTATACCAAATAATTTATTTTTTTTTGTCTCGCCTGAGACGAAAGTCGCAGTATGCGAGACATAGGTTTTACTATCCGGCGGCGTAAACTATTTGTATAAAGCTTAATATTTCATAAGGTAGAAGACCTGGATGCTTCATACCTTGTATGCAGATACCTTATGTTACGAAGTCTACGTCTGTCCAATGCCTATTGTCCTTGACCTCTTTTTCATGGTTTTTTTGTCATGTGAATTTCTCACTTATTATGAGTAATAGGATAACTATATTTGGTATATGGGTTCCTTGCAACGTCTACATGTCCGTCAGACAGGGTTAACCTGACCTCGACCTCAATTCATGGATCAGTTATCAAGGTTAAAGTTACGTGATTATGTCGGTTTCTCAGATACTACAAGCAGCAGGTCAGCTATTTGTGGTGTATGGAGTGATTGTAAGTGGTACATGTCAGACTGACAGATTTCACCTGACCTTGATCTCATTTTCATGGTTCATTAGTCAATGTTAAGTTTTTGTGTTTTATTCTGTTTTTTCAGATATTAATAGCAATAGGTCAACTATAATTGGTGTATGGAATGATTGTAAGGTGTACATGTCTGTCTAGCCAGTATCATCTGACCTTGACCTCATTTCCATGGTGCATTGGATAACATTAAGTTTTCTGTATTTTGGTCTGTTTTTCAATTACCATAAGCAATGGGTCAACTATATTTGGTTTATGGAATGATTGTAAGGTGTACATGTCTGTGTGACAGTTTTTTTTATCTGACCTTGACCTCATTGTCATTGTAGTAAAACCTTTATCTTTAATACTTTCAACAGAAAATCAATGGTCGGTAAAACGGGCGAGACATTTCAACTGTGCACTCTTGTTTTCAAGAGCAGCGCTGATATTAGAGAATACAATGGTTGTTTTATAATGGACCAACTCGGTTTTGTCATTTGTTAATTTTTTTTTGTCAGTGGAGTAGGTTCAATAAGACCACTATTTCTATCTTAAATTCCATGTAAGGATATAATGGCAATTGCTACAATAAATAATAGGTAAAACAACTGTTAAAAGGAAAAACATGTATTTTTGAAAATGGCAACTACAATTAGTATAAGTTTTAATTTCCACCAAATTGAAACAAATCAATCCAGCCAGTTTTCATTGGTCTTTACAACCAGATACATAAAGTGCATGTGCGGACAAAACAGATCTTATGACATTATGTTTGTTATGACAAATATCATATCTTAACTTGAATATTGAGTTTGTAGAACCCTGTGCACTATGTCTTCTAGGCATATATTCAATGAAATCCAGACGTTTGCTTCACATTTCAACAAAATCAATATTTGTAGCCTATTTGAGGTGTAATTGTCAACGTTACATTTGACAATTTTAACCGGCTTTGGCTATACTTTTTTGTCCTTTTTGGTTTATAGCTCTTATCTTTTTAATAAGCTTTGGATTTTCAATTATTTTGTCCTCGAGCATCACTGAAGAGACATTAATTGTCGAAATGCGCATCTGGTGCAAAAAAATTGGGACCGTTAATGTTATTATCCATATACTTGAAACACGTTTCATCTCATGTCAAGAGACTTAATATTACGGCCAAAATGAGGCCCTTACCACACCTCCTTTGCAAAGTCCACGCTCTTGGTTAGCTTTCTATGTGTAAACGTTATTTTCATTAATTGTTAGAAACCAATATGTTGTAGGAGAAAAATTCTATTTTCCGCCTTTTTCCCATCCGTCCACCTATCTGCTATGCGATATTCTAAAATAAAGACTTCTCCAACACCTATGCTAATTCAAGGAGCATCCACAGATAATGATAATAAATAAACTCATCATAGATACCAGGATTGAAGTTTTGTATTTGCGCCAGACGCGCGTTTCGTCTACAAAAGACTCATCAGTGACGCTCGAATCAAAAACAGTTAAAAAGGCCAAATAAAGTACGAAGTTGAAGAGCATTTAGGAACAAACATTCATAAAAGTTTTGTCAAATACAGCTAAGGTAATCTATTCCTGAGGTAGAAAAGCCTTAGTATTCCAAAACTACAAAGTTTTGTAAACAGTTAATTTATAATTATGACCATATCAATGATAATTCATGTCAACACAGAAGTGCTGACTACTGGGTTGGTGATACCCTCGGGGAATAAAAACTCAACCAGCAGTTGTATCGGCCCAGTGGTTGTAAATAAACTCATCATAGATACCAGGATTGAAATTTTGTTTTTGCGCAAGACGCGCGTTTCGTCTACAAAAGACTGTAGCCTGTTGCAAAAAATAAATTTGCATGCATTTAAAAAAAAAAGTTAAAGATTAATCAAAATCTTAATTACGGTTTGAACAGGAACAGTAAATTTTGGAAACATTTTGTCTTTCAGATTGCCACCACATCCTTTCATAACAGTTTTGAACAACAGACCAGAGTCATGGCCACAAATTCTTCAGGAATTTTCACATTTGTGTCATAGTGAGAATATAAGGTATGTCAATTAAGTTTAGCGTCAGACCAGAGACATATTCTACAATATAGTAAAATTTAGTTGTCTACTAATTAACGGCATACTTCTTTCCGATTTTTTCTACTTGAATTTAATGGAAACTCATCAAAGATATCAGGCTTATAATTTAATCGACAAACGCGTGTATCTTCTACATAAGCCTCATCAGTGACGCTCGAATAATAACAGTTGAAATGCTACAGTCAATTACGATGAAAAAGAACATAAAAAAAAACTTCAAAATTCTAAATTGTTGTGCCAAACCTGGTTATGCCTGGGGTAAAAAAAACCTTCTTGTAAATAATTGTATTATTTTATTAGCATTAAATTAACAGAAAATGACCGTAAAAAGGATCTTTCATGTCAACACAGAAACCCAGACTACTGAGCTTGTGATACCCCGAGGAAAGAAACGATCACCAGAATTAAACTCTCATCACAGTTACTAGGCTTTTAATTTACAACTAATACGCAAGACACCCTTTTTGTTTATGATAAATGAGAAATTGCTCTCGTGTTCGTAAACAATATTGAAAATCTGTAACGAAATTCATAACTTTTGCATTTTTTGGTATTTTGAACAATCTAGAACAATATATCAGATGGAAGACACATTCGTAAATCAAATAAGAAAACATCCATCTCTTTCTTGGTTGAAAATTTGTACTTAATGTCTAAAACTCTAAGAAGAATCTTACTTTTGTGAAACTTACTTGTTGGTAAAATGTGATGAAATTTGTGTAAGGCAAAGGGTGTGTGACTCTTTTGGTAAGGGAATTCAAGTTTCTGTAATCTATACACTTTTGTATATTTACCTTTGTACATTGTACGTTCCTGAAATATTGGTTATATATCTGACAAAATAAGCAAACAATATATCTATTATTCCAGTTCTTTTGTCTGTTAAATTCAAAAACAGAAGTTCATCTGCAATTGTTAATTTTCAAATATTTGTGCTATATTACAAGTAGAAATATTTAAAAAGTCTGGTCTGATAACTGACAAGGATAATTAAGCTGAAGAAAGGATTTAAAGCAAACTATGTAATCAATAACAATATCAAAAAAAGATTTGTATTTCTACTCATAATATGGAAATATAATAAAAAATCATGGAGTAAATGGTGAACTACTGTCCAAATCGTTTTTGAAATTACTGAATAGAAAAAAATTGAGAACGGAAATGGGGAATGCGTCAAAGTGACAACAATCCGACCAAAGAGCAAAAACACAGCCCAAGCCTACCAATGGGTCTTCAACACAGCGAGAAAATCTCGCACGCGGAGGCGGGATTCAGCTGGTCCCTAAACAATAATGTATACTAGTTCCGCAATAATGGACGTCACTCTAAAGTTAAACTCTGAAACATATAAATGAACCAAAATTTAAAAAAACACAAGACTTACAAAGACCAGAGGTTTCTAACTTGAGACAGTCGTAAAATTGAGGCGGGGTTAAACATGTTTTGTGAGATCTCAACCCTCCCCCTATACCTCTAGTCAATGTGGAAAAAACAAACACACAGTAATACGCACAGTAAAATTAAGTTTAAAAAAAGTCTGAGTCTGATGTTAGAATAGGTAACAAAGTACTACAACTTAATAGACACAATAATAGTCAGTTAATTGATATTATGAATACTGTAAATTAAGAAATTAATGTGTGCATTTATAAATGTGAATCCTTGACCACTGGCAAAAATGCGAAATCTATTTAATGCGATTGCAAAAATTGTATGAAGGAAAATCATCGCTGAAATTATGAATGCTAGTTTTTATTGTAGCGAACCTGATACTGTCATATTTTTCACATTCATAAAAACATCGCAATAATTTCTGAACTTACAGTATTTGTTTGCCATATTATGATTAGAAATGAAGATGTTTATAAACTAATTGATGACATGTTTGGTTTTAAATCCTTTCTACAGCCTAAAATTCCATGCCAGTTATCAAATAAGACTTTTTAATTAATGATTTTTAAATGATTTTAAGCTTTAACAAAGTAGAAAAATCCTTTGCACTATAATTGAATCTCTGAAAACTGGGTCAAAACTTGAAATATTGTGAAATATAGACTTAGAAAAGGATGCTATCATGTTCCATTAATCAGACACTGTAATTAAGATTACCACCAATAGCATGGGCATGTACTAGCTGGCATCAGGAACCACAGACAAAACATAACACAGATTTTACATGAAAAAGTGCAGTTAACTTCTAGTTGCTATGATTTGATTGATGGAAGTCATGAAATAAATACTTGGAAAAATAAAGAAGAAAATTGTGTCAGATTGATACAAAAATCAAATACAGCATCTATTATATTTTGTTGCAAGCTCTATATTATAAAGTAATATAAAAATGACTTTATTATTATTTTTTATTCTATTTTGTATGCAAAACAAATGTAGAACGTGATTATAGAACATTGATCATCTGAGAAAATATTGTAAATTGATGCATTGTAAATAGTAATAAAAAACCAATAAGGGGTTATTAGTTCATTTTGTTTTTCCAGGTTTGTCTCCCATTTGATACATGTAACTATTCCTTAATGATCATGGATAAAACCAATTTTGACACATTTGTTTCTTGTCCTAAAAATTTAGTGTTTGTTAACAAAACTAAAACATTTCCCATTGAGCCTATACTGAAAATACCTATTCTCAGCAAAAAACAATCAATTACATTTATCAATAATACAAAACTTGTAAAACCTTGCATAAGTGTAAAATTTTGATGAAAATAAAAACTGATAATATTCGTTTTTGTATGAACAAGGTTATACATATTAAGGTATCCTTTGTAAATGGAGTAGAGGTAAGTACTTTTAAGATAAATTGCAAATTTAACATTTGAAATACAAAAAATTGATTGAAGCTTTGTTCAATTTTTCATGTCAAAAGGTTCCAATGTTACTGCAGACCCTCCTGAAGTGTGTTTGTTTCAACAAAAGTAACTTTTTAAAGCCTTCTGCAGAAATCTAAATTAAATCGAACAATTGCAACAAAATAAGTTAATATATGAAAACTAGTCTGTAAAAATAATGATATTAAAATATTGATATTATAATGACTAGAAAACCTTCAATTTCAGAGTATCAAATTTACTAACATGAGAAAAACAATGAGTGCAACATGTGGTGCAGGATCTGCTTACCCTTCCAGATCATCTGAGATCACCGCAATATGTGTTGGGGTTCCTGTTGCTCAGTCTTTAGTATATGTTGTGTTTTGTATATATTGTTTGTCTTTTGGTTGTTTTTCGTTTTTTGCCAATGCATTATTAGTTCATTTTTGACTTTAAATTTAATCACAACCTTCAAAGACCTTTATCAATTTAGAGCTTCCAATGTGATATTAGGCTCTTGTTTATTGTTTGATCCCATATGTGTCTCTATACTTTTGGATTGCTCAAACACTGTTTCAGTAGTCAATATCATATATCAATGGATTGCTCAAACACTGTTCCAGTAGTCAAGATCATATATACAAATGGATTGCTCAAACACTGTTACAGTAGTCAATATCATATACTAATGGATTGCTCAAACACTGTTACAGTAGTCAATATCATATACCAATGGATTGCTCAAACACTGTTACAGTATCCAATATCATATACTAATGGATTGCTCAAACACTGTTACAGTAGTCAATATCATATACTAATAGATTGTTCAAACACTGTTACAGTAGTCAATATCATATACTAATTGATTGCTCAAACACTGTTACAGTAGTCAATATCATATACCAATGGATTGCTCACACACTTACAGTAGTCAATATTGTATGCCAATGGATTGCTCAAACACTGTTACAGTAGTCAATATCATATACAAATGGATTGCTCAAACACTGTTACAGTAGTCAATATCATATACCAATGGATTGCTCGAACAGTGTTACAGTAGTCAATATCATATATTAATGGATTGCCACAAAACCAGGTTCAACCCACCATTTTTTTCTTAAAATGTCCTGTACCAAGTCAGGAAAATGGCCATTGTTATATTATAGTTCGTTTCTGTGTGTGTCAAACACTGTTACAGTAGTCAATATCATATACCAATGGATTGCTCAAACAGTGTTACAGTAGTCAATATCATATACTAATGGATTGCTCAAACAATATAACAGTAGTCACTAACATATACTAATGCATTGCTAAAACAATATTACAGTAGTCAATATCATATACTAATGGATTGCTCAAACACTGTTACAGTATTCAATATCATATACTAATGGATTGCTCAAACACTGTTACAGTAGTCAATAGCATATACCGATGGATTGCTCAAACACTTACAGTAGTCAATATCATACCGATTGATTGCTCAAACAGTGTTACAGTAGTCAATATCATATACCAATAGATTGTTCAAACGCTTACAGTAGTCAATATTGTATGCAAATGGATTGTTCAAACACTGTTACAGAAGTCAATAGCATATACCGATGGATTGCTGAAACAGTGTTAAAGTTAGTCAATATCATATACCAATGGATTGCTCGAACAGTGTTACAGTAGTCAATATCATATACTAATGGATTGCTCAAACACTGTTACAGTAGTCAATAGCATATACCAATGGATTGCTGAAACAGTGTTAAAGTTAGTCAATATCATATACCAATGGATTGCTCGAACAGTGTTACAGTAGTCAATATCATATACTAATGGATTGCTCAAACAGTGTTACAGTAGTCAATATCATATACTAATGGATTGCTCAAACAATATAACAGTAGTCACTAACATATACTAATGCATTGCTAAAACAATATTACAGTAGTCAATATCATATACTAATGGATTGCTCAAACACTGTTACAGTATTCAATATCATATACTTATGGATTGGTCAAACACTGTTACAGTAGTCAATATCATATACTGATGGATTGCTCAAACACTTACAGTAGTCAATATCATACCGATTGATTGCTCAAACAGTGTTACAGTAGTCAATATCATATACCAATAGATTGTTCAAACGCTTACAGTAGTCAATATTGTATGCAAATGGATTGTTCAAACACTGTTACAGAAGTCAATAGCATATACCGATGGATTGCTGAAACAGTGTTAAAGTTAGTCAATATCATATACCAATGGATTGCTCGAACAGTGTTACAGTAGTCAATATCATATACTAATGGATTGCTCAAACACTGTTACAGTAGTCAATAGCATATACCAATGGATTGCTGAAACAGTGTTAAAGTTAGTCAATATCATATACCAATGGATTGCTCGAACAGTGTTACAGTAGTCAATATCATATACTAATGGATTGCTCAAACACTGTTACAGTAGTCAATAGCATATACCGATGGATTGCTGAAACAGTGTTAAAGTTAGTCAATATCATATACCGATGGATTGCTCAAACACTTACAGTAGTCAATATTGTATGCCAATGGACTGTTCAAACGGTGTTACAGTAGTCAATATCATATACCAATGGATTGCTCAAACATTTACAGTAGTCAATAATGTATACTTCTATTCATTTACATTGAAATATTGCATTTTGGTTCTTTTTCCAAATCTCATTAAAACAACAAATTAGTTGGTGGATTACTCTGTAGCATAGTGAATTAAAATGCTATTTTGATAAGATTGGTGTGTATTTTGTCTTTTAAGATTGTTATATTACCAAGAAAAACAATTAAAAATTGTAAACAGTATTGGCTATGGCTTCCTATAGTTTTTATGGTGATTATACAGACAATGGGTTGTTCAATAAATCTTTTTCTGTTGAAATTGAGAGTTCATTAGCTTAAGTGAGAAAAATTTGAATACTGTTAAAAAAAAGCTCTGTAGTTTCTAAACTGTAGAGAAAAACTATGAGGGTGGAAATTCCATGAAGGATTTTGCTGTTATGAAGCATTCCTATTTTGTAAAACTTGCAAAAATGTGTGTATGGCAAAGGGTGGATGAACTTTTTGAAATGAAATTCGAGTTTCTGTAATCTATACACATTTGTACATATTATCTTTCTTTTGGTTTTCGTTTACAGAAATTGCTTTTGTGATATATTGATAATATTATTAACCCGTCATTTTACTGTCCCATAAAGGGAGAGATCCAATCTTTCTGAACACAAAAGAACCTTTGCAACAAGTCTTTTCCAAAGATTGCATGTCTGACCAGATAGCCAACATTTCTTTTTTTCAAGTGGGAATCCTAATTTCCTGCCCTTTCTTCTGTTCTGATAGACCTTCTTTGCAGAATCTACCAATTAGATTAATTGCTAAATTATTCTCGTCATGAATATTCATAAATTATTGGCTCATGGACTTAGCACCAGCAAATAAGCAAGCTATCAATATATCTGCTATTCCTGTTTTTTATCTGTTAAATTCAATAACAGAAGTTATGGTGATAATTTAGACAGTTAGTTGTTCATTAAAACTTTTTCAATTGATATTGAGACTTCATTAGCTTAAGTTAGATAAAATTGAATATTTAAAAAAATGGAAGAGACTTAATAATTATAAGATTTTTCATCCCAGAAATTGTCATTGAAGTAACAAGTGAGATCATTAATGAATATTTTTTCCCTTGGTTTAACCATGAGTAAAAAGGCATCTGGTTTGAGTTGAATTTATTCTCTAAAGTACATATTAAATGTGAGAAAGAAAGAAGATTATCACTCTTGTTAAATGCACAAAGTTCTCATTTATCCTTAATATCAAAATGTTTTCAGTCCCTATTATCAAGATATTTTCAGTTGTTCTCTTTCCATTACACTGTCAGTTCTTATTAAAAAAGGTTTTCAGTTATTTTCCACAAAATGATGTTAGAAATTCTTACTGCTTTTTACTGTCATCCCTTATTATAAAGAAACTGTCAGTCATCCTCGAATCACTATATTGTCAGTTATTATCAATATATCGTTAGTTCTTCTCATTGCAAAAAACTGTCAGACCTTTGGTACAAAATCAAATATGAATGCACTTTAATGTCAGTCCTCATTCTCCAAATACCTGTTAGTCATGCTTATTGCACTATACTGTCAGTTCTTTTCACCAAAATACTACCAGTGGTTCTTATTGAAATATACTCTCAGTCCATATCATTGAAATTCGTCAGTCATTCATATTGCAATACACTGTCAGTTGGTATCATTACACTATGCTGTCAGTCATTCTACTTACTGTATACCATAAAATTCATACCATCAACATTGTACCAGTTCTTTGTCAAATACTGTCATTCTTTCGCAATGCACTATATTTTCAAAAACTGTCACTTCAATCAGCAAAGTATTGTCAGTTCTTATCTTATAAACTCTGTCAATATATATCATTCCGCTTTATACTGTCAGTCCTTTTCATTGCAATATACTGTCAGTTCTGATTAAAATACTGTCATTTGATCCCATATTACTAAACTGTCAGTCATTGTCATTGCATTATGCTGCCAGGCATTGGCATTTCACTATGCTGTCAATTCTTATAATAAAAAATGCTCTAAGTCATTCTCCTTACAATAAACTCAGTTCATACCATCAAAACGCTGTGAGTAATTTTCATTGCAACAAACTGTCAATTCTTATCTTTAAAATTCTGTCACAGTCAGTTCTCATTGCACTGTACTGTCAGTTCTTATCATTAAATTAATGTCAGTTATCTTCATTGCAATATCCTACATGTCCTTTTTAAAATAATGTCAGTTGTTCTTATTGCAATATCCTATCAGTCCTTATCAAAATATTATCAGTCATTCTCATTGCAATAAACTGTCAGATCTTATATTATAAATATTATCAGTCATTCTCATTGCAATATACTGTCAGTTCTTATCATCAAAATATTATCATTGATTCTCATTGCAATATACTGTCAGTTCTTATATTAAAAATATCATGGGTCATTCTCATTGCAACATACTTTCAGTTCTTATCATCAAAATAATGTCAGTTGTTCTCATTACAATATATACTGTCAGTTCTTATCATTAAAATAATGCATTTGTTCTCATTGAAATATCCAACAAGTCATTGTCATCAAAATAATGTCAGTTGTTCACATTGCAATATCCAACAAGTCCTTGTCATCAAAATAATGTCAGTTGTTCTCATTGCAATATCCAACAAGTCCTTGTCATCAAAATAATGTCAGTTGTTCTCATTGCAATATCCAACAAGTCCTTGTCATCAAAATAATATCAGTCATTCTCATTGCAATATACTGTCAGTTCTTATCATCAAAATAATGTCAGTTGTTTTCATTGCAATATACTGTCAGTTTTTTATCAAAATAATATCAGTTGTTCTCATTGCAATATCCTATCAATCGTTATAATCAAAATACTGTCAGTCTTTCGATTTGCAAAATTTTTAATCATCAAAATAGTAATAACAAAACAACTGTAGCATTGAAATATACCAACTTATTGGAATTTTTGTAAATTTATTCTTGTTTCAAATCTGCATGAAATATTTGCTATTTGACACTAAGTAAATAGCAATCAATCTATCAGTAAAACAATCAAAAGAATTTCTGTTTGCAATTAATGAATCTGTCTTTCTTTCAGTGTGAGAACAAGCTGTATTTCCTTAATGGAACCATTCCTGAAGTTTGTACTCCTAGAACCTCAGCAAAGTCTACAGTTTCTGTCCATGAGGGTAAACTTACAGCAAACACTTTTGCAGGTTGCTTCAGAGGACAGTGTATTAAAATTCCTAGTGAAAATTTTACCATGCTTCCAGGTTTGTAGTAGTTTACCAGAAATATGTCAATGTAGAATAGAAATGTTTTTTTAATGTAGATTGGGTGTCTTCCACCATCTTGGATTGTAAAATAGCAGGAAACAATCGGTTTAGATCTTTAATGAAATGGGCAAGTTTCAAGAGAAGAATGTAAATCATTTGTAAAACTTTGTGTTTTATAATATTTTTACTATTGTTTGATTCAATTTTTTTCCACTTTGCCATTTAAGGGGAGAAAACTGAGATAAAGTTAACTTTTATAAAGAAATGTGTTATGAATTTAACTACTTTGTTTTGCAGCAAGAAAGCAAGTCATGTGACCCAAATTTTTCTTTTTATTTCCTGAAAGCATATAAAGCTAGAGCTATCTTTAAATTCAATGGTTTAGGTCTTTTTTGTACAAAATAGGAGTTTCCATGCATAATCTATACAAAATATGACAATTTTGCACAACCTGTAGCTTGATAAGAAGCCATGTGAGCCATATGTTTTATTATATTTTTGAAAGAAAAAAACATGATATAAATTACATTATGACAAATTTTCAAAAATTCTATGGATTTTAATTTAGACACCCCATCTACCTTAATTTGTAAATAATATAAAAATAAGAAGATGTGGTATAATTGCCAATGAAACAACTCTCCACCAGAGACCAAATGACATAAAAGTTAACAACTACATGTCACCCTACATCCTTCAACAATGAGAAAAACCCATACCGCATAGTCAACATATATATGATTAAAATTGTTAATATAAGATAAAACATAATATATAATGTCAGATTTTATATTTTAGTCTTTTATGTATCTGATATTTTTAATTCTAATAAATATGACATGTAAGGCCACATTTGATTGGATGGTGTCTGCCGCCAATTTCATAGTAATTGGCAAAACCCCAGTCAATGCTCATGTTGGTTTTAAAAAAAAATATTTTTGTCGTTGTTTTTATTTTCTTCTGTTGTTATTTGAATTGACCAAAAAGGAAAAAGAACATATAAAAAGATAACTTGTTTTTAATTATATTTATAGGTGAACACTCCAGATTCCTTGACAATGACTGGCCAGTTTCTGTCAGAACTCCTGTCAATTGTCAAGAGCCATCAAGAGTTATCTGTTCTTGTTAGATTTGGATTCTCCCTATGTTTGCAGAGCACCCAACTGCAAATAAACTATTCAATCTTAGCAAGAAGTCTGCAAAATTGTATAATGAACAGCAAAGTGGTAAGTTAATGCTTTCTACCAAATGTGCATACTTTGAAAATAATGATTAAATCACTTTGGAAGAATTTGTTCAAATTGGAATTAAGGAAATGCATGTTATATAAAAAAAAATGGCAGAAGTGGTGTTAATTTCAATGAGGCAGGCTGCAGCAACCCATAAGACTTATTAAGTGTCTGTACCATGTTTGAACCACAACAACATCATCATCCTTTTAATTCCATACAATTTGTTCAATAGCTCTAAAATGATTTTGTGAAAATTGTTCAAGTCCACATTTTTTTGTAATGCCTGCAAATCTGGAGTTCATTTTAGGAAATTAGGTAATGAGGACAGCTAGTAGTATAGCATTTTTATAATGATAACTTACAGGTCTAGTCTGTATTTCATTATGGTTGATCATCTTTTTTGGATAAGGCTGCATGACTGGTCATTCGGATTTTAATTCTTTTATTTTGCAGAATATAATGTCAGACACAAATATAGTTGCTATAGCAACAATTCTGTCAACCAGTCCTAAAGAATATATTGGTCCAATAGTCAACATAGGTAAGTCTGTTCTTTGATGTTATATCATAGCAAATACTGAATAGGGTTATTGCAATGTTCTTTAGGAGCATTGTCTTGAGTAGTATATCATATTGAAAGAGATTGCACATGCAAAATTAGGTGCAGATAAGGAAAGGGTGCTGTATTGAATGGCCATATTGATTTTCTTTTTATGATTTTATGTGAATCAAGTAAGTCAACTACTACCCCCTTCCCCCTAAATCTGCAACTGAATATGATCTGGTAAGGGATAATATTTATGAACTTCGGCTGTTTACTGCTCTTTGGTCGGGTTGTTGTCTCTTTGACACATTCCCCAATCTCAATTTTATTCCATGCAATAACCCTTTTATGATATAGCAGAAACTTGCTTTCATGGAACTTTCCCTTGTTTTCACAAAGATGAGACTTCTTTTAGGGGGTTTTATATTTAGCCTATGTTTTGCTAGTTATGGCTGCAAGTGGAGCATAGCCTTAAGAATTAGAAACCTCTTTTTTTAAATGTTTTTAAACTGAACATTGAATGAGAGGAATGGTGGAAGGGTCATTATTATGATTTTGAGATATCTTACATGTAAATTGAGATGAGATCTTTGAAAGCAACAAAATACAACATAGAATAGAGCTCTTGCATTATTATATTCCGCCTTATTAAAAATTTAAAGAAAGTTGGAAAGTTTCTAATACTGACTTGTTTTTGGATGAAATAGTCATGCTGGTGTTAACATTTAATCACAGTTAAAAACACATTTGGAAAAAGAATAATTGCATGCAGGAAGTAATTTATTTCACTTTAATTACATTATATAGATGTCATAAGGATTCCATCATTTTGATTGGATGACAAAAATTGTATGGTGTTTTAAAGTGATGTTTTATATTCCAACAAAAGGCAAATCCATGACTGCACATGCTGTCTATGACAACATTTTGACATTGCTTTGAGATATTTAAAACAAAACAAATTAAAAGTTTTCAAGGTTGTAAAAGTGTTGACCATGCACACATTTTAAGTTTTTAGCAGTTAAACACTTCATACAAAATGTGCTTCTAGTATTCAGTTCTTAATAAAAAATATGACCAAACAGCTGATTAAATTGCAAAAAAATAATAATTGGCAGTTCTAAGGGATTAATTTGGTATTGTCATTGTCTCATTTTGTTTTATGATATCATTTGATTTCATTGTTGCATTTTCAAACAAATACATAAAACATATGTGTAGCCGTTCTTAAATAAATGCAATCTATAAAATGTAGTTTAACAATTCTATGGCATCATATTCCAGTTGAAAATCACAACAAAACATAAAAGTTTGACAAAGGTGGCTCTTGTTGTCTTCAATTCTGTACAGTTTAATTTTTTAGGTAATTTTTGTCTATTCTCAGTTAATTTTGCCATTGTCAATTATTCCCTATTCTTTATATTTTAGCACCCTATTAATTTATATTCTTATTTTTTGGCCTATTTTTCTACTCTCTTTATTTTTTTGCCCATTTTTCTGTGGACTTGGCCATTCATTCTTTATTCTGTAAACCCCATCGAACCCTTATAAAGTAATAGAAGATAACCAGGAACAATTTGGAATGTACATGTTTCTAGGTTATACATATTTAATTTGTCCATTTGGATATCAAAAGCAGGGTTAGCTGGAAAAAAGGATAAAAACTATATCCCTGTCTTACAAATTGGATGGGCCCAATTTGCATATGGTACAGTGATGATTTCAGGCAAATTGTTTCCATTTTTTTCACATGCTTTATAAAGCTCATAGTTTACTATGTTTCGTAAAATTGATAAAAGGCCATGTATTGCTATTTTAAAAACTTTTCGTTCATTGTGAAATGACTATTTATTTCCCGTTATTAAATGCGTATACCTTTTATTTTACAAACTTAATTATTTGACAATACCATGCATTTTATGTCAAACAGCTGAGCAACAAAGCAGAACAAAATACATTGTAATAAAGTGAACACAGTAATACTAAATATATTTTACGTCTTAGAAGATATTTTTTATCATTTAATTTCCACCGATCGACCAAACCAAGCCAAAATCTTTCACATAAAAAATCTGTAAACTAAAATTTAAAATTTTTTTCCTTAAAAGGTCATTGTAGTAATATGTTGCTGTATGAAATCTTCTCAAAAGTACTGCTACTGACTTTAAATTATAAGACGGCATGATATCTATATTAATAGGCCAAGTCCTTTGCACTTGATTTCAGTAACTGCAGACATTCTTTAATGGAATATGAATCAGTATTGTTTTACTTGTCAATGTGTAATTTGTCTTCAGCATTACCAATGTCAATTGCTTTTTCTGAACAGATGATGCGGCATTGAAAAGTACGTTTTTTCTTAAACAAATTGATGTTGATGGTAGATCTTTGGTAGCCTCAGCTGTTGAATTCATTCACAACCTGTCTACAGACTTAGGACAATTTATAGTGTTTAGCTAAAGATGCCAAAAAACCACATCTCCTTTCATTCAATTCCTTAGTGATTAGGTTATTTTTTTATTGATTCACAAATGCCTTGGCTTTAAGCTATTGTTTCAGAGAATATTTAATAAAAAATACTGCCAAATATCATATTTGGATTGAGCCAAAAATATTTTGTGTCTTTTATATTAATTATATAGTATCTATGTCAAAACATCACAAAAAATGCCTGCAATGTAGAAAAGTCTGCTTAATTAAAAACGAGAGTATTAGAAAATGTTCTGGAAGACTTTTTATTTCACATTTTTATATCTAATGCACTTTTAGGTGTTTGATATGTATATAATTAACCAGGGCCAAAAATAAAATTAATATTTTGCCTACCTTCCCACCTAAAAAGCTGCATACCCGAAAAATTTTATGACACAAATCGTTTCAAATTTAAAAAAAAAAATGTTCATGCATACTCTAAAGTTGTTTTCTTGTCTAAAACATGTAACTTATGTTGTTGGCCAAAAAAATAAAAAGAAAAAGTCCTACCTTCCTAAGAATTTGTGAAGGGTGGCCAAAGATATCAAATATGTTCAGATTTGACAATACTTTTTTAGTTCAGGTTATGAAAATTATAAGTTATTCTTTTTGGAATAAGCATGTAGGATAAGTAATAAACCTAAATTAAAGCTTGAAGGTTACGCTTTGAATTATTTGCAGAATAAACATATACCTTTTCTATTTCTGGTATCAGCAGTGTAGCTATATGAAAGAATTTAACAATATAATTAGAAGGATTCTTTTCTTCGGTAAGCCTGAGATTGTGACAGATTTGTACTATAATAAGAAAGCTTCTGTGTTATTACATGTTAAAAATCCCAAATTGATTCTGCACGAGGATTATGACACCACCTACGCTGATTAAGAACAACTTGACACATTCAATCTTTCTTTTTTCAAATAGGTCCTCAATTTCACATCAACATTGTAACATTATGTCAAAAAATCCCATGATTACTGGAAATTAGTTGCATTTGTTTGTCTTCAGCAAAGACTGTTTTCTTTTTGTTTTAGTTCAGATTTAATTGATGAAAAATTGACAATTTTTCTTAAGGTACAGAAACTGTTGTTTGATTGAGGTATTTTCCTTCGTAATCAGTATCAATGTCTTTGTGAATTAAAGACTCATTTGTCTTGCAGTAGGCCTTTATTCAAATCAATTAGAGGTCGAGATTAAATCTTCCTAACAAAGTGAGATTTTAAGACTGAAATTGTCAGCATCCAAAAGTTTAATTTTCCTTCATTTTATAACCCATGAATACTGGTTTGTTATTAGGCAAAGTACACTAGACATCAGTTAGTGACAGACTTGAATTTAACTACATTTAGCATACAAAACTTAGACATGCTTAAAATTCTTGATTTTCTTTTAAAGACAAATTGTATCACCTAGAAGGACTCCCCTCTCTCTGCTACACTCCACAAACCGTATGATTATCAAAATTTGCCATGGCCTATAGCTACCCATGACAAAAATCTCCAGTAAACCATGGTCAGAGGCAAATAATTTCAAAAGGGCCACAGCAAATAATTTACAGATCAATTAAGGCACTATTTATTCAACATGACAGAAACACTATAAAATCCAAAAATATTGACCCTACCCATGTTAAAAGCAAAGAAAAGCCACAAGATGTAAAAAAATATTTAATTTTCAAATAGGAAAATGTAAAAAAGCAACATGACACTGGAAGTAACATTTAGACAGCACCACTAACATTTTTTATCAAAAAAAGATCGAGTTTATGCCTTTACAAATGGAAAAATTTGTACTAATATTTTTTAATAAAAAAAAAAGATTGAGTTTGAATTTTGGTTGCATCACTTTTACCGTTCTAGGGTTATGCCCTTTACAAAAAGAAAAGTTCTCTAACTTAAGTTTGCCTCAATCGAATGTTATGAAACTTAAACACAATGCTTATTACCACAAAACTCAGATCAAATTTGAATTTGGGTAGCGTCACTCTTACTGTTCTTGAGTTATGTCCCTTTATAATGTTATATACAAGCGGGGCATCATCTGTGTCCCATGGACACATTCCCCATTTATTGACATTATTTCCTGTTGGTCATATTTTAATTAAGTATTTTCAAATTAAACATATCACATAGTGCAAACTGGATATCAAATTATAGTGAAGAATAATTTGTACACTTTTATTTAGGATACAGTAAAGTCGATAGGATCTTAATTTACAATGAGAAGAAGCGGATTATTTTTATTCTCTTTTAAAAGCAATTACATATTAGTGCATGTGGTTGGAAATTAAGATCAAATATGAATACATCATAAAAAATAAGCATGTAAGTACTGAAGCGTGTAGAGCGTGTTTAGTTCTTTAACCATATGCCTCAAATTTGATATATCCTAAATCAGAACTTCATGGTATATTTATTCATCCTACACAACTTAACTCTGCTCCCTGGGGTTTATAGCAATAGGAAAGAAAAAAAATATATCTGTATTTCTTTATATTAGTTTCAATTTTGATGATGTTGAATGC